TACATATAAATCAGGGATCCCTTTGATTATCCTGGACTTTGAAGATAATCCCCTTACACGGGGGGCCTGGGTGGCTCAGTCTGTTAAGTGTCTGCCCTCGGCCCAGGCTCAGGTCATGATCATGGAGTCCTGGGATCGAGTCCCGCACTGGGCTCCCTGCTCAGCGGAGAGCCTGCTTCTCCCTCTGCCCCTTGCCCTGCTTGTGCTCTCTCAAATAAATAAATAAAATCTTAAAAAAGAAAGATAATCCCCTTACATGAGGGACACAGAAGTAAAGCAAATCACGAGGCCTGTGAAGGGCAACAGAACAGGGCAAAAGAAGGGGAAACGCCCTCAGAGTCACAAGGTTCTGTCATTTCCTTCCTTGTTGCTTCTCTGGAAGTCTACTGGGAATCTTCTGGAGTCAAATCATCGTCTTCACCCCTTCTTGCTTACAGAAGAAACCATGTTAAGTGTCTGGACCTGCCCCAGCTTCCTGTCCCTATCTGGGCACTGGGAAGCAAGGGCACAGTCCTTACTCATTTTATGGGGTGAGAGAGGCATTGAAGGTTCTGTGAACTTTGTCAAGGATTCTTCTTCCCTCATGTCAGATCCAGCCCCCAACTCCAGGCAGCTCCCCATGGTTTCTTGAGGTACAATGAAGAGATGATGTACTTCCATTTCGACTCTTTTGCTATTCTGCCCAATGTATGCAGTGTCAAGATTTCCCTATACATCTCCTCCGAGATGACCCTCCAGGACTACAATGAATGAATGTTTGTCTCTCCCAAGCATTTAAGAAATTTTAATATATATATGTATAAATTTTATAATTTTATTTTATATCTTTATATATTACATATAATATAAAATTTAAAATATATAATATACAATAATATACAAAATTTCAAACATGTTAAATATATTATATATAACATACAAAATATATACTATAAAATTTAAAATGTTATGTATTTTATATATTTATATAACATAATATATATTTACATATATAATATCTAAATTTTTATATATTATATTGTATATTATATATACTATTATTATATATCATTTTATGCTCCTGAGTGAGGAACCCTGAAAGATATTGAGCTCTTTGTATGTTTCTGTTGCATTTCTCTGTCTGAGCTTGGAGATGGCTGTGCATGCAGGATAAAGAAAAAGTGTCCTTGGATTCCAGTTCTAAGGATGGCTTCCAGTACCCAGATTCCTCACCTTTGTCTGATCCTTCTGTCAGTCTTGCTAAAAGGCCTGTGGTCTGGAGTTGCTGAAGCTTCCTTAGTTCCAGATTCTCTTCCTCATTTGAGCCCGAGGGCTGGGAAACAAAGGCCCCACCCCCCACACATCACGGGACACCTCCTGGTCCTCTCTGGGTGTCCAAAGGCCTGACAACAGTTCTTGCACATTATCTGTGGGTCGAAGAGAAGGGTGGTCAGTGAGTCAGCATCAATCACGGGGAGCTTTCAAAGGTTATCATCAAGACATATTTTTTGATTTGGGAATTGGTTTTTCTGGAGGGGACACAGACGCGTGGCTTGTGAAATTCATGATGCAATCAACAGTCATCCACAACCCATTTTATATAGGGACACAAGGGAGGCGCCTGGGTGACTCAGTCTTAGTTAAGCGTCTGCCTTCGGTTCAGGCCATGATCCCAGGGTCTTGGGATCGAGTCCCACATCCGGCTCCTTGGGAGCCTGCTTCTTTCTCTCCCTTTGCCTGCCTCCGCCCTGCTTGTGCTCCCTCTCAAATAAGGACACACGGAGAAAAGATCAAAAGGTCTCAAGATGATGATAATGATTCAGTTGTCCTTATCAGCTTAGATCATGGATGCTGAGCAAATTCCACGGGGCACAATGTAGCTTCCAGGACACTGAGGAGAGATGAGGATGAAGGGGAGCTTCAGGTGGTCTTTATGTTGCCGAAGGAGGCCCCTCTCAAGCACTGGCGCCAACCTAATCAGCTCGACACAATCAACTTTGATCTAATCATCCCCCAAGATATAAAGGGATTATTTATTTCCTGTTTACTTTTCCTCCGCATTTTTATTTTACCACGCCTGTATGTATCTGATATCATCAACCATAATTTGATAAGTCTAATTTCCAAGCATTTAAGAAATTTTAACATACATGCATATACTTTTAAAGCTATATATTACTTCCTGCAAGCGTAAGATAGGTACACATGTCAATAGACTGTTTAATTCTGTATCGTGGCTTTTCTCTCAATTGTTTCTGGAAGAATCCCCTTTTTACACATATACCTCTAGTTCATTCCATTCACCACTGTTGGTCATTTACTTGTGTCGACGAACTATGTTCTTGTTTGCTATGATCTTCCCTGTTGCTAGGAACAGAAAGAAAGGAACTAAATTTCTGCATCATCGTGCTCATGAATCTTCATGTTTTAAACAGATTTTTTTTAAAAAAATTTTAAGATTGTATTTATTTTGAGAGAATGAGAGAGAGAGAGCATGAGAGCAGGGTGAGGGGCAGCGGGAGAAGCAGACTCCCCGCTGAGCAAGAAGCCCGATGCGGGGCTCGATCCCAGGACCCTGGGATCATGACCTGAGCTGAAGGCAGACGCTTAACGACTGAGCCACCCAGGCGCCCCCCATGCATCTTCATGTTTAGCGACCATATTGTCCCCTGGGGTGGTTAAGCCAATCCCACTCACACTAACCCTGGAGGAGAGTCCTCAAGTCCCCACATCATTGCTACACCCAGTAATATCTGAATTTTCACTGCTTGTATGTATGTGAAATAGTGGTGGTTTTATTTCCATTTGTTTTATTATCAGCAATGCTGTATGTAACATAATATCATATCCATTACAGGTTTACTAACTGAGGAATTGTCTTTTTGAATTTCTTTTCCAATTTATTGTGGATTTTTTCCCTTTAGTTTTAATGGGTAGATATTAGTTTTTATATATTCTGGATATATTTCTGAGTGATGGGAATTGCAAGTATGTGCTTCCATTTTGTAACTGGTCTTAAATTATATTTTCAGACAGAAGGTACCAGTTTTAGTGATATAATAAGTAACAGTAATGTAGGAACTTTGTTTAGATCCTGGTTCAAAAAAATAATTTAAAGAACGTGTTTGAAAAAAAAGTGTGTTGGGGCGCCTGGGTGGCTCAGTCGTTAAGCGTCTGCCTTCGGGTCAAGGTCATGATCCCAGGGTCCTGGGATGGAGCCCCGCATAGGGCTCCCTGCTCCGCGGGAAGCCTGCTTCTCCCTCTCCCACTCCCCCTGCTTGTGTTCTTGCTCTTGCTGTCTCTCTCTCTGTGTCAAGTAGATAAATAAAATCTTTAGAAAAAAAATTTTTTTTAAAGTGTGTTGGAGTAATTTGGGAGAATGGATTATGAACCGGGTATTAGATGATATTAAGCAATTTAAAAATAGGAGCACCTGGCTGGCTCAGTCAGTAGAGCATGTGACTCTTGATCTCAGGGTTGTAAGTTCGAGCCCCACATTGGGGGCAGAGATAACTTAGAAATAAAATCTTTAGGGCACCTGGGTGGCTCAGATGGTTAAGCGTCTGCCTTCGGCTCAGGTCATGATCCCAGAGTCCTGGGATCGAGCCCCGCATCAGGCTCCCTGCTCCTTGGGAGCCTGCTTCTCCCTCTGCCTCTCTCTCTCTCTCCCCATGTCTCATTAATAAGTAAATAAAAATCTTAAAAAAAAAGAAATAAAATCTTTAAAATAAAAAATAAATTAAAAAAATAATTTTGTGTTGTGATAGCCTGGGAGTCTTTTTTATTATCTTTTTAAAAAAGATTTTATTTATTTACTTGAGAAAGAAGGAGAGAGAGCACGAGCAGGGGGAGGGGCAGAGGGAGAATCAGAATCCCCGCTGAGCAAGGAGCCAGATGCAGGACTCGGTCCCAGGACCCTGGGATCATGACCGGAGCCGAAGGCAGATGCTTAACCAACAGAGAGACCCAGGTGCCCTTTTTATTATCTTTTATATACTTGAATAATTATTTATTAGAGATGAATCTTATGGCTCATAACTTGTTTATTAGAGAAATACAGAATTCTAGGATTCCATCAAAGTATTCCAGCTCCATTTCCCACCCAACCCCCATCCCAAAGGAAGAGTTTAGAGTGGATGATACAAGACTGGCAAAACGCTGACATATCTTGAAGTGATCTTAAGGGTAAACAGAGATTGACTTTATTTTCTTTAATTGTGTGAATGCTTGAAATTTTCATATTAAAAGCTTTAAAGAAAATAAATCAATATTGGGAAACTATCTTCACCATTAATTATTTTTAGTTCATGCTGGCTTCATTTTTATATAAAGATTATGTCAGATGTACTCATGGGTAAGATTGCCTTGTAAATTTACCTACAGAGACATCCAGTCCTTAAAGATCCAGGGCCGAGTTCCTGCTCTCTTTTGCCAAGAATGGGAACACGGGAGAGAAACACTCCACTTGAGTAATGGGTCTGGTAGACATTTTTTTTTAAGGTCTGATTTTCCTGTGACTCATAATGAAATTATCAGTGAGAAAAATACTGAAAACATGTTTTCGTTGATACGAAAGAAACCCTTCTGATGAGCCTACGTAATCCTTGCACCCTTCCTTGGGCAGCACTCACTTCTCATTTCACGGTGGAAGAAGCAACAGAAATCTCGCAGGGTCATAAACAGTTGTGGGTGGGAGTTGGGCCAGAAGTAAGATAGGGAGGAGTCCCCTGCTTTCCGGCCCCTCTGCCCCCTGCCTTTGCTGTCCCGCTTTTTGACACCATGACAGGACCCTGCAAAAGTCTCCCCTTAGCTGTGTGGGGCTCCGCCCTGGAAACACTGCCACCAACATTCCTTCCCTCACACCAGCCCAGGTTCTGATGAGCGGAGGAAGATGGAATTTTTCCAGCCAATAGGAGTGAACCACGCCCTGCGAGGGGCCCATAAAAGGCAGGTCCTAGAATCCAGTCCACACTTAGGAGTCGGAGCGTTGCAGAGAGTGGATCGTCACTGTGGGCTTCAAGATGGACTCGGGAACTGAAGACTCAGACTCGCGCCGCCCCTCCGTGCGACACCCCACTGACCAGCCGCCCTGCCAACAGAATTCCTTTAAAGAAAGGGGCTCAGATGTGGCAGAGAAACCACTCGAAGGAAAAGAGGAGACATTCTCTTCCCCGTTAAGAGAGAGCTGCACCCAGAGGCAAGGTAGGGATCTGGGCAGTTTGTGTATGGAGGCTGGAGCGGGGGTGGGGTGGGGGGGTGGGTAGGGGTCAGGGGTTTTTTTTGAGACAGGTGATAGGAAATGTCATCCAGGCCTCAAGGGGTCTTTGAGAAATACGGCAACGATCCCCTGGAACCAGACTGCTCTGGTCTACCTTTGACACTGGCCGAACAACCTCAGTTGATAGAACTGTCCACAAAGTCAGATCAGGGATGGACTAGGGAGTTCTGTGGGCTTCGAGGGAGGCCAGGCACCTAAACTCCCTTTTCCTCCAGGGTCAGAGCCCAAGACCAATGAGAATTCCAAGGAAACTGAGCTCAAAAGAGACAGCGGCATCTCTGGATCAGGTAAGAGTTTATATTCCTGGGGAGGAGGGACGGGACATAGGGTAACTATGTCTCCCCGGTCAGGGAACTGGGAGCTCTGTGGCCCCCTTGCAGATCCTGGAATCTAGGAAGAGTTGGGAACCTAGTTTTGGTAGCCAGCTTTGGTCCTTGTGTGTCCAGGATGGACTGGGGTGTTGGGGGTGTCCTGTTGGAGGCAGTCACAAGACTCTCTTTATCCACAGAATCGGAAGGCTGCTCCAGTTCGGAGGGCTCCAGGAAGAGGAAAATCAGTTCCAGCGACAGCACCTGTGATGGAGCAGGTAGGATCTTGCCCTGGGCCCGGAGGTGTGCGACAGAAAAGCAGGTGAAACATGCAGGGCGTGGGCACGGATGGGGCTGTTGAGTTGCTGAAGCGAGTTAGGAGACTCTGGAATCCAGGGAGCATTTGGGGACCCTGGATGGGCCTGGCGGCGCCTCATCCCATCAAAGGACGGGCCGGGGCGGAGTAGGAGACAGGTGGAGTTCGCCCGAGGGAGTGGGGGGGGGTCCCTGGGAATCCATCTGGCAGGTGGTTCACCCACGTGCTTCCTCGGCAGGGGCCTGTCTAGCAGATGAGCGCAGTGTGACTCCGGGGAAGAAGAAACGGAGGGCGCCGGACGAGGACCACGGCAGCGAGAGCGAGGAGACCGCGGATGCCCGCCCCAGGAGACGGTGGGCGCAGCGCGGCGGGCGCAGCCGGCGGAGCAGGTACAGGTCCCCCGGACACCCGCCGCCGCCTCTTCGGAAGAGGCTGGTGACCACCCTGCGCTCCCTGTCCGAGGCCATCTATCAGGACGTCGCTCAGGCGTGCGAGCAGCAGGAGCACTCCCCGCTGACCTGGGAGCAGCGCTCGGGGCTCGGGGAGCTCTGGGGACCTCTGTACGCGGCCCTGCAGACCGTCTACGCCATGGCCAACCAGGCGGCCTACGTCTTCCCGGCCGAGAGCTGGCTCGTCCCAGGCCCGCTGCCGGGCCCCGGGGCTCCCGCTGGGGGTGGAGAAGCCCGGGGCTCCCCGGGGGAGGGATCCGGGCCCGCCCCTGCCCGGGGCCGAGCTAGGCTGCCGGAGCTGGGTTAGGCCCGTCTCACCCCGCGCGCAGCTCCGGGGCTGAGAACAAGACCCTGCGCAGTCTTCCCCCCAAACCAGCAGGGCTTGTTTTAGACACACGGTGCCAATAAGTGATAGAGAAGCCTGGGGTGGTCCGAGGAGAGGTACTCCCAACATGGACTCAGAATGGGAGATAGTGACGTTTACATTTCATGTTAGACATTTTCGGGTATTTTGGGTATCTTGGGACAGCCCAGCGTTATTTTATAACGAGAACATGTAGCGAAGTAAGCATACTTATATCCTCCCCTTTGATCCTGAAAAGGCTGTAAGTCTTCGGCCTCCCACCTGCAGGACTGCTGGCCACAGGCCTGGGGTAGCATTCTGTGGGGAGAGATGGCTGCATTGTTCAGTTTGATGAAATCATAAAACCTGAGCCAAGATGGATTAATGTTATTGACCATATGTATTTATTCTTACAGCTGTCTCATATTATATGCCTAATTTTAAATTTTCTTCTATTTTATAGATTTCAAGGTATCCTATTTATGAGAGGATATTAAAACTAATGTAGATAGTCATATTTTATATTTTATTTGATATAGTTTCCTATTTGTATTTTATACTGGGATCACAGAGTCTTTCATCATATAAATGTATATAATTTTCTGTAAGGCAAATAAACATTTTTGGGTATTGTCTTATATTTGGCTCATAATTTCCATATTACATGTGATGAAATAAAAATTAATACTTCTCATGTATGCTACTTATCCGGATGGAGTTTGTTTTATGGCAGGTGTGGGTCAGGCTGTTTTCTTTTCATCTCTACTACATTTCCACCTTGACTTTCCTCCACCTAGAAGCTCTTATTGTAGGCAGGGGAGAGTAGTTAATCATCCCAGTGAATGGGGCAATTCAATGATAATATATTACAAATCAATTTGAACCCATGACATGGCTTCAAATTATATAAAACAAATGACTGCATACGTACAAAAATTACAATTTGCAAATTATATTTGGGGATTGAGGATGCAATTACAAAAGGATCAAAAAATAAAATTTTAAAATAGTAATACAACAAAATAAATAAAATATCAGAAATCAATAAAAATGTATCAAATGTATATGAGAAACTGACTAAAATTTCTGAAATATACGAAAGTAGACATCAACAAATATAAAATCACACCAGTGAAAATTCCATATTATCAAACATCAATCCCTAAACTAATTACACAAATTTAATTTGGTCCATCAGTTACTCATTGGAGCTAGGCAGGTTATTGCAAAAAAAAAATCCTACAGATGAAAATACAAATAAGGATAGGCAAGAAAACTGAAAAAGAAAAAAAATCAGGATAAAGTTTTAGTTAAGCAAGATGAATAAGCTCCAGAGATCTGTATAATATTGCACATATAGTTATCAATGTATTGTACACTTAAAAATCCATTAAGAGGGTAGATCTCATGTTAAGTGTTCTGAGGAATAAAGAAAAAAGGGGAAAAAATAAGGCTAGCTAGCTCTCTGAAACATGTTGTTTCTTGAATAAGACAGGTCAGTAGAGATAAAAATTCAAAAATAGACCAAAGTATTTGAGAAAATTAATAAGCAAGAAAATATTGGGGATGGCATCATTCCTGCTTGGGGTCTGGGAACTTGATATTACCATCACAAAGGTAAGAAATTGATTTACTCTTCGCATCCTATAACAACGAAAAATATAACCGCATGGCCAAAAAAAAAAAAACAAAACAAAAACAAAAAACAAAAAAACCTCTTTTCAATACAGACTCTGCCTATTAAATTGAAATAGAAAATACACACTGACTCCCTCCTGCTGCCAGGACAGTGGGATCCGTGAAGGTCATGGCAGCCAGGACACGCGGGAGAGAGGCAGCCAGGTCCTAAGATATGGGCGTGTGGTTCTGTGACCTCCCCTCCCCTCAGAACTGCAGTGAGAGGTCAGGCTTGGGGAACTGAGAATATCATTGGAAAACTTTTATTTCCCCCCAATTGCTACTTGCCAAAAAAGAATTACAAATTCCCAGTTAGCATCTCTCAAATGTTTGGGAGAGGCTTTCTCTTTTCCACAAGCCCTGGAGGTAGACAAGTGTTCAGGGGGACGGTAGGAAATGCTGAGGTCTGATAGTTGAGGGACTGTTAGTGAAACACCTGACTTTTCCTGGATTCTCTGCTCTGCTGAGAAATTCTACCCCAAATAGAGTTCTAATATTCAGACCATTGAGATGCCATATCATTTAAGTTATAAGCATAGAAATGAAATCAGATAAAGTGCCCCAAAAGGATTTGCAGTTACAATCACAAAGAGAAGAATATGCAGATGAGGGGTGCCTGGGCGACTCAGTTGGTTAAGCGACTGCCTTCGGCTCAGGTCATGATCCCGGAGTCCCGGGATTGAGTGCTGCATCGGGCTCCCGGCTCAGCGGGGAGTCCGCTTCTCCCTCTGACCGTCCCCCCCTCATGTGCTCTCTTTCTCTCTCTCTCTCAAATAAATAAATGAATAAAATCTTAAAAAAAGAATATGCAGATGATAATTTACATTAGGAATCACTGGACTTATCTGCCGATATATTTGAAAGTGTAGATGATATGGAAATTTGTTAGGAAAATATGCTTTGCCAATATTGATCTTCCTAGTGGTAACAGAAAGTCTAAACAGAGTAATACCTACCAAAAGGGAGAAGTTTATGAGACCCTCAGAAATGAAAGCACCAGGATCAGATGGTTATTTTTTTTAAGATTTTATGTGTTTATTTATGAGAGAGAGAGGCAGAGGGAGAAGCAGGCTCCCCACAGAGCAGGGAGCCTGACACATGACTAGATCCCAGGACCCTGGGATCATGACCTGAGCCGAAGGCAGACTCTTAACTGACTAAGCCACTCAGGCGCCCCAGGATCAGATGGTTAAAAATGGGCAGATTCTATCATTCCTTTAACTCTCATATGAGCCGATACTCATTTAAATAGCATTGGGTGGTTACCACATCCTTCCACAGCTATATTTTTGCTGAGTTTTCAGTAATCAGCTCTGATTCCTTTTATAATTAATTAAGAAACCCGAGTTCAAAGCAATCATTTGTTTTCCCTACACACAAACACACAATTTGGTCCATGCCCACTGTCAAATACTCCGATACCCAAGTCAGAGATTACAGCCATAGTGGTGGACAACCCTTAGTTCCCAGACACACAAATACACAAACATTACACATAGATGCAAACACCCATGCATACGTACAACATACACTCAAATGCACAGCCATATACCCGCACACAGGTATACACACTCACAAACACTCCACAGCAAACTCACACTCACGCACACATTCATCAAAGACAAGCATACACTCACATTTACACACCCTTGCCCCTACACCCACGTTCCCAGTCCCAGGTATGTGATCACATTCGTTGTCAGCGTGCACATGTGTATCTCAATAACGTGCTCATATGTGGGAGAATACAGGACTCTCCTGACCTTGGATGCCTGAAGATGGGGGGAGAGGAGCACTTTCCACCTTTTTCACTCCTTCCATCCCTGCCACAACCCACAAAGATGACACCACGTGCAATATTTTAAAGTGCCGTGAGCATTGCTGGGGCAGAGTTGGCAAGTTGCAGGTGTGTTGACAGAGCAGGGAGGCGGACAGAGGTGGTGTGCAGAGAGCATGGGAGTGTGGAGGATGCAGAACTCTTCAAAGGCATGTCGTGCCATAATACTCGATGGATGCAGATAGGTACAGAAAAGCAAGGGGGGGAGGCTAAAGTGAATCCTGAAGTCCTGGATCAGAGTCAGGGACATATGAACACACATTTAGCGGTAGGGACACAAGTAGATGGGTAGATAAAGAGAACTATAGATGTAAAGAGATTTCATAGGTTGGTCTACTCAGAGGGCCTAAAAGCAATGAAATGCCAGGAGAAAGAACACCCAGCACCCACATCTTGTATCTAACACTGTTCTCTAATCAAAGGCTCCTTGGAGATACAGCTGACTCTATGGCAGGAGCAGGGAAAATACAAGATGAACCTGGAGCATCTTGCAGTGACAAAATGTAAGAGTAAAGAAGTGCTCAAAAAACAAAAAACTGGGGGCCGCCTGGGTGGTCAGTTGGTTAAGTGATTAAGCCTCTGCCTTCTGCTCAGGTCATGATCTCAGGATCCTGGGATGAGCCCCGCACTGGGCTCCCCGCTCAGCGGGGAGCCTGCTTCTCTCTCTGCCCCTCCCCTGCTCATGGGCTCATGCGCACACTCTTACTCTCTCTCAAATAAATAAAATCTTGGGGGAAAAGAAAAAAAACTGGGGACATAGCAAAGGGACACAGTAGCGAAACCCGGAAGGACTCCCACACTGCACCCTGTCAACAATTCTCTGATACCAAGTGGGTGTCCTGCAATTCCACATAATCTGACATTCTTTGCTTAGTACAGACCACACAAGTTAAGGGCAAGGTCCTTCCCGAGACTGCTCCCAGTCACAAGTCACCACCTATAAGGCAGGCATTCCTAAACTGGGCATCTGCCAGCCAGCTACAAATTTAAGGCTTCTCACAATCCCCTCTGGCTGGGTATTTGCTGGGAAGACTCACAGAACTCGGGCAAGTACTGTACATACGATGATCCTCGATAAAGTTATTTTGTATATCGGGACCCCTAAAACAGAGGCCACCCCAGTAGCCCGACCCGCATCACAAGTCTAAACCTAAGTCAGACTGCTCTTACTTACGTCAAACATGCTGCAAGGAAACCTAACATACACCAGTGACAATCCTCCAACTCAGCTTCAGCTAGCTGACCTTACCATGGAAAAACAGTGCCTGCTGGCTCTATAAGGAAATCCCCGACTTTCTGGTCAGTCATGCCCGTTTCTGCACTGCCTCTTCTAAAACTCACTCTCACCCCAAATCCCTCAGGAAGAGCGCTCCACCCTTGTGAGGCTCTGTCCTCTCCCAGATCAAGGGTTGTCTTCCCTGGAATAAAAGACAGCAAACTCGTTACTAAA